AGTAACGGGTATCTAATGATCGAGGCCTCGACTATAGCGTACTCTTTTGTTTTTGACTTATTTTATCGTGTGCTGCCTCTTTGTTTTTGAGTAAATAGCGTATTAACATGCATCATAATTTCAATGGAATATATATTTTCAATTAAAGTAGTTTGCTAATTATATTTTATGGGTTTTATTTATATTACTACCCTTCTTACATAACTATATTTTATAGTAACCATTACGTTAAGGTATAAATAAATCGAACTATTTTTTGGACTAATGGCCAATTTGATGGGATGAATTGACCAAGAAGTATTTTTGTGTGTACGACTAACGTTTACGCCTATATACCGGTATAAAATATAGAAATAAAAATTTATGCTATTTATAGCAATGATTGATGGCGAAGAGTGTTTCTACATATACATATATGTTCACTTACGTTCTGTCACCTCGGCGTATCAGTATATTCCTGTAGCTCCTTTTGAGTCTTCTTCAGATCCTCTTTGATCTTGTTTCGCTCCAATATCACGAGCTGAACGTTGTGCGCCTCCTTGATAACATCATCTTTCAGAGAGCTATACAGTGTCTATAAAGATATCGAATTAAAACCAACAGGACAAATACATCCCTCCTGAAAACTTACTATATTCTGCTGAATAGTGCCCTCAATGTTACGGGTGTGTCGTTCCACAGCCTTTTCACGTTCGTCTAGCGAATTCAAGTGCTGTTGAAGCTCCAGTTTCAAAGCCCTTAAAGAAGCCAGCTCCTTTAGGATGGCCAGGTTTTCGGCACTTGCCATAGGAATGTCCGAGTCAACCGCCCAGCCCATAGAGGCCATTGCTTCCAGCTTGAAGTCATTGAGGGAGGCCCCCTTCATGTCATCGGTGCGGTTCATTATGCTACAAGATTAGCCTCTCGGCAGGGCCACAGGAAATCAGATCGCTTCGGAGTTTTTCAGGAAAAATTTTTCGTCTGGTGAGAATGGGAAAACATGTTAGAATAACCTCTGTTTCGTTTTCCGTTTTAATGACAACCAGAAAAGCAAACTTGATTCCCATAACAACGACTGCTTAACGAAATAACAACTACACAGAAAAACAAGAGAAAACGGTTTAATCGATGTTCTCGGCTTTTAGATACCCATTACTCAGCTTAAGGGAGTGCGAGAGGGGTTGAGATATGCTTATAGCAACTGTGCTTTTTTACTAACACGCTACCTATAGCGCCACTTGGCCTACAGCGCCAACTAGCCTATAGCGCTCCTAGCGGCTTGGCGGCGTATTAGTAAAAGTGCTAAGTTGGCAATCCCGACGCATTGCAAAATACTGATTTTATTTGGTTATAACTTTTTAATGAGTTGTTCGATTTCAATAATATTTGACATGTAGATAGGTATTGTGAATAAAAACAAACTATCATTTAAATTTTTACAAAATATTAAAAAATGTGGGCACTAGACGGGTTTCCGAGATCACAGCGTTCATACGGACGGACAAACAGACGGACATGGCTAGATCGAGTCGGCTAGTGATCCTAGCCTTCTACCTGTTAAATACTTTCTGACGAATCTAGTATGCCTTTACTCTACGAGTAACAGGCTATAATGTGTAAAACCAGCTAATTTTGTCACAGTTAGAGTGAACGTGGCAAACTTCTTTTTGGGTCACTCGATAGGTTTTGACGAGACTAACACATTTCAGAAAAATTTTTTTCTAGCATGCAATTCGGGTGCCAAAGTTGGCGGGATTGTGGGCGGTAGAATGGCGTGACATATTCGCGTAACAAACTTACACTGCGTACAAAGCTACGGAATCATCTGCAATCTCAATTCTCTATATTTGATAGTTTCCAAGATATCCGCGTTCATACCTACGATTTTTTAAAGTTTGTGGACGATTTGTGGGCGTTAAAGTGGGTGTGACAAACTTTTTTTGGTCAATCATAGGTATTTATAGAACAATACATTTCACACTGACGAACAATCGTGCGCTGCGCGGAAATATCTAGAATCTGCATCCTAATCCCAGTATTGCAGCTTTCATAGTTTCCGGAACACAGAACGGTATACCATACTATGTACATACGAAGATAAGCGTGTACAAAAAAAAAGAACATCGAAGCGAAGAATGGCTACTTCTGCAGTAGCATAGAATCTACTACGGAGCATCCAGACTCAGAAAATCCAGCAACATGCTACTAAAACCAGTGCTGACACTGGACGGAAAACGGCCAGGAAACCCTTGAACTCCTGCTAGACACCCAGTTCCCTGAAAACACCAAGCATTGGAGGATCTCTACATAGAGGAGACCCTCGATGATCAGAGCATTTCCAATATCTCAACCTTCTTTAAGCCCTTCAATAAGCCGGCCCTGATGGGTTCATCCCGGCCCAACTACAACGGACACTAAACACATCCCTCCCTTGGCTGGTAGCCTTCTTCCACGGCTGCCTAGCACTAAACCACATTCCAGTCAGATGGCTGGACGTAATATTTATACCAAAGCCCGGCAAACCCCCACATCACCACAAAGCACATCCGCCCGATAAGTCTCTCTTCCTTCTGGTTGAAGACCCTGGAAAGGCTAATAGACACCCACATCAGACTAACTACCAACCCAAGCCTACATGCTTACTGTAAAGGCAGATCAACAGATACGCCTCCACTCCTAGTATCTAGAATGGCAGCTTTTCTTGACAACAACGTCACTCCAACGGCTATCACTGATGCTCTGACTGAACTGGGCATTGGCGACCTATTGTGGACTCATCCACACCATGCTTACCAGCAGGGTAGTGTTCTCCACTATGGATCTACACACTCGACCAGGACTGTCGGTAAAGAAACCCGCAAGGGGTGTACTCTTACCTCTTCTATGGTTATAGTAGTTAATAAACTCCTATCACTTCTAGAGGAAGCGGGCACTTAAGTGGTAGCCTACGCGGACGACGTGGTTATCCTACTGCAAGGAACATTTCCTCGAACTCTCTGCAATCTGATGGAGACAATCTATACACCCTCTTTGGAGAAAGAAAAGACCGAACTAGTTATATTCACAAGAAAGTATAAGATACCAAGTCTAGTACTCCCAAAACTACACCAAACGCTCCTAACCCTTAGCAACCAGGAAAAGTTCTTATGTAGGTGTCATCCTGATAAAAAAAACTCAATTGGACAGACAACATCTTATACCGCACACGTAAAGCGCCCTTAGCACTCTTCGCTTGTTAAGAAGCTATAGGGAGGAAGTGGGGTTTTTCCCCATAATAGTTCACTGGCTATACACTGCAATAGTCAGGCCCATTCTTCTCTACGGAAACATCGTGTGGTGGCCGTCCTAGAAAAGACTTTTAATCTTAGGATCCTTCACAAGATCCAAAGAAGCGCAGAGCTCTGCATCAGTGGGCGCTCCGCACCACCGCCACTGAAGCACTAAAGACAATCCTCGACCTTCAAGCCCTCGACATACTTGCTAAAAGCTGGGCATCAGCAACAGCTCTGAGGCTCCGCGAAGCAGCGGCCTGGACAACAGACTCAACGGGTCACTCCAGTATACTAACAAATCATATATCCATACCACGTATTACAGACTACGTAAAACGTTCGAAAAAAAGTAGAAGATCTTCATACCTACCCGTACAGACTGGGGCAACCTCCCACACCAATGCGGAAACGCCGTCAACATATACACAGACGGCTCCGAGCTTATGTCCCAAACAGGTGGAGGAGTATTCTCTCCTGCACTGGACATTAAAGTCTCATTTCGCCTACCAGAGCACTAGTGTTTTCCAAGCGGAAGTCATGGCAATCCAGGAAGCCATGTCCCTCCTGGATACATCAGAACATCACGACACAGACATTTATATCTTTTCGGACAGTCAAGCAGCCCTCAGGGACCCCAACTCCCATACAGCTAACTCAGCAACTATCTCTGAATGCCGAAAATTTCTGAACGAGATGGATCTCATCTGAGAATCATCTGAGACCCTGGGTGCCTGGACATCGTAATATTGAGGGCAACTGCATTGCAGACGAGCTAGCAAGCCAAGGGACAATAGCCGAAATCCTTCGCGATAAGGACTCGGTGGGTATGCCCATGGCATCCTCCTTAGGCAGAGATTGTACACCCTCTCCGACAACCGATAGAACACAACCTCAACATGCCACAATTCCAGGCTCACTTGGCCAAAGTACAACCAAAAAAAACCAAAACTCTTCTACAATGCAACAGGGAAGACATTTCCACTCAGCAACTGCCACAGCTGTAAGCAGACAGACGAAGAGGAGAGCATTGAACACCTCCTACGCTTCTGCCCAGCGCAGAGAGCTACACACTTCCGAACTTGCAGACATACAGGACGCAAGCATTCCCAAACTCCTATGTTTCCTAAAAAGAACAAACTGGTTTGAGAAACCCAATAGCCCATGAGCTAGGGAAAAGGATCTGCACAGAGGTTACATGGTATCACAAGGGCCCAGTGTGGCCAAAGAGGTGGATCAGTTGTCTAATCTCCAACCATACCTATCTAACCTAACCTAACCTTGATCAAAACCGTCATTGAAAAATAAAATTGAATGGAAGTAATTTTTATTTTTCTTGGAATCTCTTGTCCACTGTATGCTTTAATTTCAGTTTGAAGCGATTTTAAGAGCATTTTTTATTGGATTTCTTATAGCAATAAAACCATTTTTGTTTTATTATCTACTCCTATATGTTGTCAAATTTAAAATAAGTCATGTCAACCTTTAGAATCCGAGTAAACAAACGACAAGGAAACAAACTTGCGCTGCGCAGTAAACGCAGTCTGCCTGCTAAATCCCAACATTCTAGCTCGTAGTTTTCGAGATCTCGCTTCCTTCCACCTAATTCTACGAATTTAGAAAACCCTTTTACTCTACGAGTAACGTAGTTCGGCTATTATCGTTATCTGCCCCTGATGTCTACATAAAGGTGATCCAATAGCAACTCATTAAATTGAATTCACTTAATTTTCATATAATCTTTTTATTTTATTTGTTTGCTGCTTGGTTGGTTTGTTTTTCTTTCATGTCGTTATCATAGAGCAAATGTACTTGTTGATGTAACTACATAGGTATTATGTAATATTACTGTTATTTGATAATTTAATTCTAGCCTTTTTATATAATAACTTGACCAGCATCTCGGGAGATGCCATTGTTTCAGTTAGGTATAATTATTTAATTTATATATATATGATTTTATAGTTATATGTATGTATATATATACCACATTTCAGTAATCAGTTTTCAGTACTGCAAAGATTTGTATCTAGTTTTAACGTAAGATCGATTTCGCTTTTGTTTTGATGGTAATCCATTTTTTAGATTTTTTATTAGCATTGTTTTGTTTCTGTTAGACAACACAAAAATGTATGTATATGCTTCAAGTACTATAAAGTTATGTTATGTTAGTTTAAATATATTATATTTATATATATGTTAGCATAGTTTATGTAGAAGGGATGTGTTCTAAGCACTATCATCGTTTTATCCACTCTTCCTTACTCAATTTCTCACGTTTAATTTAAACATACACCCATGATGGCATTTGTTTTTATTTTTTTGTTGTAACACAGCTTGCAAAATTTGCATTCAATTTTCTTGTAGGCATGCAAGATACTTTATGAAGGTATATTTTTGTTTAATATATTATTAATTCATTAAATTTAACTTTTAAGGGTGGGCGTTTTTTGTTTAGATTATTTATTTTGGGTTGCTATATGTAAATAATGACGAATTTTCTCACTTCCATATAAGGACTACTCTTCAACCTCCAATGCTCCAGTCCTCTTCATTCTATATTCATTCATTTTTGTTTTCTAATAAGCGTTTATGCACATTTGATGCTTACAAATTAATTAAACTCATATTTAAACGCCAGAGAAAAAAGTTCAACATAACAAATAAAAAAACTTAATAAAATAATTATTTGATTATAGTAAGTATAGAATTAGCGAAGAATAATAATAATGGTGGAAAGCAAACTAAAACAAATTTAACTAGAACGCAACGCTTAGATCGAGAGTTCACCGCTCTGTTCGTTTTCGGTCGGACAAATGATTGGTTATTGAATAATCCATTTTTACTATTCAATTTATTTAAGGTAACATTTTATGGGAGAGGTATGGGGTGTATACATCATTCGTTTATATGTCGACTTCTTCCCCTTCAGCATTCCTGTCCTTTTCTTTTGTTTCTTCTTTTTTGCAAAAGTTTGTAATAAAAAATATATTTGAATTATATATTTATATTGAAATTTAGTATGACGCGCGCTTGCCAAAAAGGAAAAGTTAAAGGACGGGGAGAAGCGCGCGCGACGAAAGTAATTTTCGTAAGAAAAACAAACAAATAAGACCCATCCAGTTAAGCCATGCTGCAGAAGTTTTATAGCGGAATATAGCCGAGTGAATATATCCCATGTAGTATTTCGTTTAGTTCCCGTTTGTGTTGCTGCAGATCATGTTATTGGTGAAGGAGAGTTGGTTTTTGTTCCGTTGCTTGCTTATGAGAGGTGGAAGGACATACTGCCCTCGTTGGCGGCCACTTTCAGTTTCTGCCGCATCACCTCGCGACTGGAGTAGTCGGGCAACTTTAGATAGTTGACACAGGTCATCACAGATGGTAGGTAATCATTGGGGTTTTGGTTTCCATCCAGCGTCTTGCGCACGATAGTAAGTGGCGGCGTGAGGGCCTTAAACCCGCCAGTTGGCAGGCGTGGTGACCCTGTCACGAACTGCAAGAAAGCGCGCTGCTCGTCGCGATTGTACGAAGCCAGGATCTCGTACAGATATTGAATAGCCTGCGACTCCTGGTGGAATCCGTGATCTGTGCGGCAGCTGTCCTGCAGCATCTTAGTTCCCACCGCGACTGCTGTTGCTCGCTGGCCGATCCACAGAAGACGCACTCCAGCTCCTCTGGATAGAACATGCGAAGCCGTTGGATCGGAAAGACGGAATCGAATCCTGTGATCAAAAAAAATGTATGTCAGTAAAATATAGATACCATTGAAGACACACAAATAATATGATAAGAATTTGCGAGCTAGAATTGAAAATCAATCTTGAATTAGTTTTAAAACTAAACTTTTTTTTTTTAGTTGAAGCCTTTTGACTGATCAGTTTTTAAATTATAATTTTTGTCAGATATTTTGTGACTTTAACTTACCCTCACGCAATGCCTCGAACTGCTTCTGGACACCCTCGATCAGGAACCAGTATGTGACCAGCGATATGTACTGGTGGAGGTTGTGGACGGTCACTGGTGTATCACGACCGCCACGACACAACTCAATGTTGGCATGTCCGGGCAGTACAAAGTCAAGGCCCAGGTCTGATATGGGGCAGCCATCCAAGTCCAGCAGTTCAATCTAGAAATGATTTAATAAAATACTATTACTTCACAACCAATCAACAATTAACAATAAAAATCAAGGAGGAATGGTTTAGTTCAATGTTCCCACTGTCAAATATCCGTTACACTGTTAACCAAATTAAAAATGAATTAATGAAATAAGTAATACTCTCTTCAGGCTTGTACGAAGTTTGAACAAAATGAATTTATGCTATTATCTATGAATGTTTTAAACTTGATTAAAATGTACGTCCTAATAATTTTCCCCATATATTTGAATCTAATTAAAGAGATCCAAAACTAAGCTAGGAAATTTACATATTCCTTAATACATTTTTAGGGCTATAGCAATAAATATGGGAAAAAAAATGTGTTTTATGGTATATTTTAAAACTAGTTTAGTGCATTTGGATGATTTCTATACAAATAATCAGATAGTTTTTATGACAGCTATATGATATAGTCGTACGATTTTTGTATTACCTGCAATAGAACAAAGACTTTTTGAAAAGTTTCATCCCGGTAGCTTAAATGACGCTGATCAAGAATATATATACTTATTAGGGTTGGAAACGCCTCCTTCTGTGCAAACTTCAGACTCAAAACATAATACCCTCTTAAATGCAATAAAAAACAAGAGAGTATGCTGTAGTAGAATCCCTCGACTATCAGATACCCGTTACTCAGCTAACAAAAAGCGCCACCCATCGTTCATTCTTATCGCCACGCCACATATTGCGAAACCTAGGTGGCGTTATGGGCGATTGTGGACGTTAGAGTGGACGTGCCACATGCTGAAACAAACTTGCGCTGCGCAGGAAGCCCAAGAATATGCATGCCAAGTCCCAACACTCTAGCTCTTTTAGTTTCGGAGGTCTCAGCGTTCTTACGGACAGACGGACATGGCTAGATCGATTGGCTAGTGATCCAGATCAAAAATATACACTTTATGGGGTAGGAAACGCTTCCTTCTACCCGTTACAACCTTCCGACGAATATAGTGTACCCTCTTACTCTGCGAGTAACGGGTATACAAATCATAACTGTAGCTCATGTTTTGACTTTAGGGGGTCGATTCCAGTAGGCATGGCAAAACCAAGTTACGAAATTATGTCTTGTACATGGCATATCTTTCTACCGTCCTCACTTAAATAGGAACATTTAATATTAAATACAATCGAAAATGTGCCCAATAAATTTTATATTTTCGGACTTTCCCTTTTTAATAATTAATTAAGCCTTTTATCACTTTACCAGTTCTGCCTAATTTATTATGAACCTAAACAGCAAAATCTTTATATAATTTAATTCTTGAGGAAATGGTGAATGTATTTATTCTATTTAAGCAACGAGTGTGGAGTATGGATTTAATTTTGTCTTGTAATTTATTTATTGTATTTTTAAAAATAAAATTGTGAATAAAATAAATGTTCTTCAATGTTGTACTCACCTTTTCTGTCTTCTCCATGGCATCGATGTTTGGGTCGGACAGAATGTACTCTCGCTGGCGCACCAGATCCTGCAGACGGACCAAAGTGTTTTGCACCTCCGGAGCCACGCGCATCAGATCGGCCAGGCCAATCGAATGCTCTTCGCTGACAAGCCAACGATAAAATGGCAACGAGAAGGGCAAGTCCAACTAAGACGAAGAAAAAAAGGTCAATTAAATCACATTTCAAGAATTTAATAGAAGTTCCTACCATGCGACTGTCCATAACCGCCTTGGCCATGAACTTGCCTAAGAACTTAAACTTGGCCTTGGCCTTGGTCATTTGCGGAAGCTTCGAGGATTTACCCAGAGGCAGAGGGAACAAGCCATGCACCGCATTCACATAACTAATCATAGTTGTGGTTGTAGTCGTGGTGGCACTGGAGTGATTCGTAGTGGTGTTTTGCTCCACCACACTGGTTGTGGTTGTTGTAGTGGTGCTGCTGGGATTATCAGTTGCTGCTGGGTCAGCAGAGTTTATATCACTAAATTGCTGTGCGATAATCATATTTAAAGCATTCTCATTGGTGCCGGCGCTGGATGAGCCGTGATCCACTGGCTGTGACAGCTGTTGTTGGCCAGCCACACTGCGCAAGAGATGCGTGCGACTGCTGGATCGAGTGGGTGGAGGCTGTTGCTGCTGCACGGTTGTTGTTGTTGTGGTGGTGGTGCTGCTCACAAGCGACGCTCCTCCCACTGCTGGAGGACTCTGGTCCATGGTGGTTGCTTCGAGAGCATCCTCAATGTGCAACACTGTACTGTTGGCCTTCACCACATCCACAATAGTAACAGAGTTTTGTCTGTAGCTATCGCTGCCATTCCACAGCCCCAGATCCGTACGCTGCAACTCCGCAGAAACCAGAGCGTAAAATTCCAGTGTAGGTCCCAGACCCGTGCCAACTTCATTCTCATACTGAATTTCGAGCAAAGCCTTAGAGTGGCCAAAGTCCTGAAGGATGTGCTCAGCCTGTTTGAGTATCTCCGTACGGGAAATCGCACGCTTGCGGCGATCAAGGCGAGGAGCCACGCGTTCTGAAGACTCGGCTGCATTCAGATCGGGCGTGGTGTCCAGCAGACGCTGCAAAGCGCGATCCCGATCGAAGCTGGTAGCGTAGAAAAGCAAGTGTCGCGTCTCGAATGGGAAGAGGAACGGACAGGCCATGCCTATCTGGGGCAGCCACTGCGGTAGGTTCCCCGTCATGATGACAAGGGGATCCTGCAGTTGACGATTCGCCTTTGCCGTGATCTTCGGGTGTACAAACTCCGCCTGGGGTATAATGTTCTGGCGCACCACACACCCGTATAGATGCTCCCAGTGGCGATTGAGAGCGTGGATAACTCGCAGCATACACAGTGCATCCAGCGAGGAATCCTGCACTGTCACAACATCAGCTGGAAGCGAGCTGCTGAGGAATGGCTTAAGAGCTGAAATCACTCCCGGAGCTATTCCTTCGTGCCATAGCTCAGTCTTCTTGCGCATAAACTTGCTGCTAGATTTGTGGGCCTTCTTCGAGGAGGATCCTCCACCACTGGCCACTCCCGACGAAGAAGAGCACGAGGTGGAAGCATTTGCATAGCTAGAGGCGGAGCTTGAGGTGCTCTGCTGCTTTTGTACGCCACTGCTACACGAGCTGCTGCTAGAAGCGGCTCCCGCAGCCGCTCCCGAGGCCACTTCCTCCTCTACAGGGCGATAGTAAATGGTGTGCTGCTGCACCCATATGCTGGCATTTCCTAAAAGCGTCTCCGACTCGTTGTCCGTCTCCGGCTGTTCACTGACCAGCGGCGAGAACTGCTTAACTGCCTGGTAGACGGTCATGTTGTAGGGCAATACGTGATCCCCGATCGTGAACTGCAGCTTGTGCTTAAAGCCCGCCTGTGTCATCACAACAGCTGCTACGTTGTCGTCCATATCTTCCTCACTGTCGTCGTCGGAGTCGGCTCGGATGCCACCGTATCCGCGCACCACCAAATACCGCTCAATGGCCTGAACCATGGCCAGCGGGTCGATCTTCACAGTGCCGCCTTTCCACTGACGAAGATTGCTGCACTGTGGATGACGCTGCAGGTTGCACTGAGGAAGAAAAAATAGGAATATTTTAAAGACACAATAGAAGCGATTGATTTATTTTATGATAATCTAATTCAATCATGAAATGAGTTGTGGTCGTTAAAGTGGGCGTGGCACAGGGCAGAGTCAAACATGTGCTTCATAGAGACTTCTAGAATCTACATGCAATATATTTTTAACTCTCCAGCTCCATGTGGGCTCCATAACGTTAACCTAGCCACAAAAACTTCAATTCCTTTAAAAAATTCCACGGAATTTGAAGTGGCAACTCTCTAGCTCTTATAGTTTTCGAGATCACATAAATAACACGGGCAGACAGACGGACATGGCTAGATCGACTCGGTTAGTGATCCTGATCAAGATTATATATACTTTACATAATCGGAAACGCATCCTTCTACCTGCTACATGTTTGTCCCCAAGCACAGTACACATCTAATTCACTATTAAACTGCTCCTACTTACCTTTAGCTGGTGAGTGTTGAAGAAACGCAGTGCACTCTGATTGGACCTGCCTCCAGGACCAGCGGGAAAGTCGTGCACCTTGACAGGAAACTGTTCTAGTTGCGTGACGCAACCGTTCAACTTGGCCACAAAGCGCCAAACGCCAGCGGCTCGATTGTGGGCATCTGTCCGACATTCTGGAGCAAAGGCTCCAACGGCAGCCCGGCAAATACGTGCATAAAACTGCGCAGGCGTGCATCGCGCTCTACCAATCCTGTCTCGCTAGTCATATAGTTGAGCATGGCTTTGATGAGGCCCGAATGATTCACTTCGAACGGAGAGATATCACTCTCCAAAAGAATGGTCTTCAGCTCGAGGAGAGCATCCAGACAGTCGTGGTAGCTCCCATTGAGCTTAAACAGAATGCTGGACAGACGCTCCAAGACGTTGGTGCTGCCCGCCGTAGACAGTGTAGTATTGGCTGTCGAAGATATTCCCGCTCCGCTGCTTCCGCTCTGAGTGGATCCACTTTCTGGGGCAGTCTTACTCCGCCTGGCCTCCTGCTCAGTGTAGCGCTTCACAAAGTCTACAGCCTGCTCTCGCACCCACTGGCGTGCCCTTTCCCTGTTGGCCGCAGCTAGGAGATTGGCGTGGGAGATACTCTTGCTGATACTTGCCGCAACTGCTGCTGCGTTCAGTCCTCCAGCTCCACTTCCACCGCCATGTTGGCCCACTGTGTAAGCCAAGCCAGCTCCAGAACCGGATCCACTTGAGTTGGCGTTTCCGGAATCTTTGGAAAGGCCGTGATGCTGCTGCGTCTGCTGATGGTGGTGATGATGATGTGCAGTCTGGCGGCCCCAGCGAGCCGGATTGAGCGATGCCAGGAACGATGATTTGGTCGACCCGGCGTTGGTCGAGTTTCCGGCATTAAAGCGAGACTTGGAGCTTCCAGAACCACCGCCTGAGCTGGGGGTACTTCTGCCCCCGGTGCCGCTACCAAGACCTGAAAAAGCACCAAAATCGATTAGACTAAAGAAAATATTTTTAAAATGCAGTTCCCTTAACACTGAAGTGAGCTCTTCAGTTACAAGAACATAGACAAATATACGTACTTGTGGCACGGCTAAGAAGTTCGTGCATAGCCGAACTGGCTGAGGCGGGTGGGGCTCCTCCTGCTCCAGATCCCGCTGCTGCAACTGCGGCATCGTCTTGCCTCGATTTGGCTCTACCACTGCTTTGCGACTTTCGCTTGGGCGGCGCTTTTCGCTTTAGCATGTCCGTCATTTTGTGCTGCAGCGCCGAGGCTGAGGACGAGGAGGACGAGGACGAAGATGATGCAGCGGCGCTGCTGGTGGAAGCCACCACCAAATGGGCCGGCTGTTGCTGCTGTGGTTGGTAGATGACCTGAGGCACCTGCTGCCCTTGTTGCTGAGGTCCAGTTGGTAAAAGCTCCAACTGCGGTGGTGGTGGTGGAACTGCCGGCTGCTGGAAGTGCACGTACTGGCGTGGATCCCCCTGCTGTGCCACAAAGAACCCAGCGGAACCTCCAGCTGTCGAGGATGAAGACGGCGCTGAGCTGCTGTAGTTATAACCACCAGCTGGAGCAGAGGTTCCTGAGGCGTCTAACGCTCCTACAGGAGTTCCTTTGGCGCTGGCCGTCAGAGCGTTCATGGCATGCGAGAAGCTCTTTACGCTGTACGATTGATGCTTGCTGCTGCTGGGTGTCGTGGAAGCACTGGACGATCCCGGAGCGTTATCCATAAAGAAGGGATTAACTTGCAGGCTGTTGGCGGAGGCCGGGCTGATTGTGACCCGCCTGCATTGGCTGTCGGTGTTGCTGTTGTGCTTAGCGGTTTTGGCGAGGGATTCGCGCATATGGGATTATTAGGGTCCGTCAGCTGGTGAACTGGTAGATAACTCCCTCACGACGAAAGTGAGTGCCAAAAACATCAGGCAGTTGGCGCATTAGGATCTCAGCCATTTGAAGGGCTCCCACCACGATGCGCAAGTCGTTGCTGCCCAGCATGCCAGCAATGTGGCTGGAGACCAGCTGATACTTAAGCACCTGCCGCAGCAACTCCGGCGTGGCGTAGTAAACCATCCGAAGAAGGGCGCGCAGGCACTTGTAGCGCACATTCGGTCCGGCCGACGAGCTGTATACTTCGTAAAGCACATTGAAGATGTGTTTGATAAAGTCGGCAGCAAGACCTCGCTCCTCCTAAAAAGGGATACAACAAATAAATATTTGGATAAGTTATATCAGAAGATTAAGTCAGATCATACGATTGTAACAAATTAAGCCTTAAGTCGTAAGGTAAAATAATATTTATATGTATACTATTTAAAAAAGGGTTGAAAATATATATATCCCCAAGTTTAAGGTCTCAGTCACCAGCATTCGAATATACATGAAATTCCGGTTAGACCTATTAGACCTATACAATGTCTAAATTTATAAAATAAAAAAAAATTGCTTGTCAAACTTAAACTTGAATTTTGTAATTTAAAAAAAGTTATGTAAATTGATTATTGTGGGTTTTATGTTGAATTATACGACTAATAGTTGTTTGCTTTTTATTTACCTTGAGGCATGCGATTCTTGCGTCCAGTGATGGGCGTCGCTTCACTTGGTTTCCACTACTTCCTGGTGGATTATTATTGTTGTTATTGGAGGCTGCTGCCGCAGCAGCAGCGGAGGTGGATGCCCCTCCCGAAGCCGCTGATCCCGCCGCGTTGGTGGTCAAGTCCTGCCCCGCTGACATGGGGGCCACGTAGTTGTGGTTGAGACGACGCTGAACGGGACGTGTGGTGCCCGTGTCCTCGTTAATCTGTTGCATGGCATGAAAATCCACAGTGTAGGTGCGTCCAAATGTGCTCAAGCTGATTTCGTCCTCGCTGCTCTGGTTGGCGGCCTCAATCAGCCGCGAATCAATTGTGGAATAATTGTGCCAGGAACCGCGATCATCTCGCCACTGCCAGTGCACCTGATCCTGGGTGTTTAGCGTGGGCCTGTCCAGCAGAGAATCCACAGCGAAAATGCCATCCAAAGGTAGACGCGGCATCAGTTCACCAATAAGGCAGGTGAGTTCGTACAGCTCTGAAGGTGAGCGTGAGACTAGCTCAACATGCGTGGCACTGGCAGCGGCCGGCTCAGCATTTCCAGTGAGCAAATAGAGCAGGGTGGCCGCTATGTCGTTCCTAAGCAGAGATATTGCCAAATCCGGACAGCTGCCACACATTAAACTCAGCATCCGAACCACGGCTGTGAAAGTTCCTGTGTTTAGGATGGCTGGTGTGACCAGCAGTAGTTGCTGGCAGTTCTTCAACAAATCTGGACTGGCGATCTGCTGTAGACGCTGGCTGTCGTGTTGAAAACTCTCCACCAGCCGGCAGAAAGCAGAGCACACGCTCTCCACACACTTTTTATCCTGCTGAGAAAGTAGGCGAGCTAGTAAAGGCAAGCTTTCCGCAACGAAGTGGAATTCCTCTGGATGCATGTTAAGGCAGCAATTAGCTGCTATCGCCAAGGCCGCTCGCTGAGCCACAATCGAAAAGAAGTCCAAATAGGTTAGGCAAGCCGAAATACCATTTGCCTGCAGAATGGCTTTGTTGTGACGCCTGGAGAGAATCTCTAACGCGGTTAAACTTTGTTCCGCCACATCCATGCACTGTATAACCTGAAGTTTCTCCAGAAAAACTGGAACAGCCTCTACCACAGTGCCCGAGGATCGGGGCAGAGCTTCCAGCATGTATGCCAATGCCCTACAAGCATTGTTCATTATGTCAAAGTTATGCTCCATTCGAAGGAGTTGGATTAGTGCAGGGACCACCTGCTTGATAGGAAAGCCGGCGAGGGTATCCTCATTTCCCATCACTAGCATCTGGCACATTTCGATAGCAGCCTGTAGCTGCTGGGATTCGTCGTGGGACTGCAGTCCTTGAAGAAGTTGATTGGCCTTGGAACTACTGCTGTTACCAATGGTGCGGTGAAGGATGTGAGTCATTCTTGGGCCAAGGGCTCCGAACAAATGGGGAGGCAGTCCGCGAGCTTCTAGCAATGCTTGTAGACGGCCCACCTCACTATCATCACTCTCCGAATCGGCGGCGGCAGCTCCACCGGAACCGCTGCCATGCTGACTGGCACTGCTTGTACCGGTGGTAGTGGGTCCTCCGCCCGGAGTCGACCCTGAACCCGCTGCAGTCACATTGTTGCTGCTGCTGTTGCTGGCTGGTTGGCCGGCACTGCTGTTGCTGCTGCTGGTCGCGCCCACGGCGCTGGTGGTTCCTCCGGATGCAGCTGATGCTCCTATGCCTGGTCCTGCTCCTCCGGCTCCTCCTGCTGATCCACCTCCGCCGGTTCCACCTCCGACGTCACGTGCGGCACTCAGAGCGGCTGCTACAATGCTTAGATTGGCTGAACTGGCACCTAAAGTCGCGTCACGAAGGAAGGCACAAAACTCGTCATTAATATTATAACTTGACATATCTTTTGGAAACAATCGTTTCCCGTTTTGAAGGATTTTAATCTGAGTATAAGTAATAACATGAAACAAATATGTCAAAACAGAAAGTACAGGCTTACGCTAACGGCCCTATGAAACTTGCTTATCTTTCGTATTACTTTTAAAGTCATGGCAATTTAGACAAAAAATGGTCGGCCTTTCCAGTTCTCGAATTTTTCCAGGCCTGTCATAAGTTTCACTTCAAAAAAATTAATTTCACAAAAAAATTTAATTTTCTTACAAAATTCTGTAGCAAACAAGGAATAAGCCAATTCACTTCAAGGTGAAAACTGGAATAGGCGGATTAAACCACAACGTACATGCTTACAGATTCGCTATGACTTTTGAAAATAAATACGTCAGTTAATCGGAACTTAGGCAAATGTAATATATATAATTTCACAGGCAACTCGGGAGACAGATTGGAAACAAACAAAATATTGTAAAAAAAAAGTAATTAAAAAATGGTAATCAAAACGAATTGGAAATAAATACAACTCAATTGCAGCAATCATTTTACACTGCTCAAAATGAAAAATTTCTTAATTGTTTTTTTTTTTCTTCTAATTGAATTTTAAAGTATTATATTTAAGACAACTTTTTTCAAAAATTTGTTGATTCAGAAACATAATTACTAAACCTTGGTAATTTTAAATGTATATTGTTAGTTGCGAAAAATGATTACACGATTAAAACTAAAACAGTTGGACAGATGGTATATAAGTTTAAGATTCATAAAAATCAACTAAATCAAAACTAAAACATCAAAAATAAAACAGTCTAAAAGTGTGTTACGATCAAAGTACAGAAATGGGTGAAAGATCAAGTTTGCTGCCACCTGGGTCGTCTTTTATGTTCTGAGTGATTTTTATGCGGAGGGTGAAATAAATTCAAAGCAAGGCAATATGTGTGAGGATGGACTAAATTGGTGCGTATATGTTGAGTACTGATCGATTGGGTTTTTCGTTTACCTGGCGTTATTTGCTGTCCACCTGCATGCGGCGGTCCACTTGGCGGTTGTTGTGCCATCAAACTATATGTTAAAGCATCCGAAGCTGCTAATCAGACAAGAGACCGAGACAGAGAGCAGGTTGTAGAGAGAAAAAACAGAGCAAAACAATGTTAAGTTCACTATTATTTTGGTTCAGTTCAGTTTGGGGAATTGTTTAGGCAGACACCGCGAGCAAAGCAACGCAGGAATGAGCGAGCGGAGACAGAGAGAAAGGGAAAGGGGGTTGGTGTGTTTTGGAGGTGTGTAATTTTTGATTTTTCTTTCAGTGCAATATTGGTTGTTTTATCACCTATACTATGACCAGCACCAAATAAGATTAAGAGTGACACCAAGACCCTATAATATGTACATACAATATACTCGTTCAATTTCGTTTTGATATTCCCTTCAACTTTTCTCATTCAGATCGGGAAAGTACAAATGGACTATGGCACATCGGACCACAATTAACCCTATTAAGCCTAGTCCCTACAGTGCGTGTGTGTGCTAACATCTCCTTTCTTGTAACCAGAGGGTTCCAAACTAGCCCCATGTAAGCCCGTTCTAAAAAGTATACAGGGGCCTTGGCTTTTGGTTTGCTTGCGGTCTCTTGTCCTTTCCTCCTTTATATTCCTCCTCCTCCATCTTCTTACCACTGCTATGCGTCACTTTGGGACCCGGATGTATTTGTTGCGCCTGTTGCTGTTGCTGCTGCGGATGATTGCTGCGATAGCTGAACAAGAATCCTGGCTGCACGAGCGTGGCACGCTGCTGTTGTTGCTGCTGATGTTGCTGTTGTTGCTGATGTAAAGCCAGTTGCTGCTGTTGTTGCTGCTGCTGCTGCTGTTGCAACTGTTGCTGATGACGCACGGCAACTACAACGGTATTGCCGCCCACCTGTTGGTATTGATAGGTACCAGGCGGTGGCAGCAATTGCTGCTGTACAGCAGCAGCAGCGTTGCTATGTTGCTGTTGCTGCTGGTGGTGTTGCTGCTGCTGTGCTGCTGCTGCTGAACTCACACAAGAACCCGTCTTGCCACGTGAACTGCGTCGCAGTGAGGAGTGTTGCTGCTGCTGTTGCGGATTGTAGGCAACCTGCTGCTGCTGCGGAGGCACAAACGTGGCTGCTGTAGTGGCTGTTGACGGCGTGTAGCGGGTTAGCTGCGGCGGTGCCTGTTGCTGGTAGAGTGCTGGCGGCGGTCCTGCCCCTGTGGAGGTAAAATGGTGCGGTGGAGGTTGATGCAACACGGCCACAGAACTATGGTAATAGTGCGGCTGCTGGGGCTGCTGCTGCTGCACGTGTTGCTGTTGCTGATGTTGCTGATGATGCTGATGGTGTTGCTGTTGCTGCTGTGCAAAGTAAGCGGCAGCAGCAGAAGCCGGGGGATAGTGGGCCGCTGCCGCTGCTGCTGCTGCCGCTGCTGTTGGTGTCACAAAGGAAGACAAGTGTGCAAACTGATGTGTGGGCAGCAACTGAGGTGGCTGTTGTTGTTGTTGTTGGTGTGCTTGTTGTTGCTGTTGCAACGGAGGTTGTGACGGTTGTTGCTGCTGCTGCTGCGGTGTCAAGGCATATGGCGTGGTTGTTGCGGCCGTCGTAAGGTGCGGCATAATGCTGTAGTCAACAACGTTGTTGCTGGTGTTGCTGTTGCTGCTGCGCGTGGCACGTGGCCGCCCCCTCCAGCTCCTGGCCCCGCCCCCTGTCCATGGGGGGCGGCACGTTGCTGATAGCCGGACGACGTTGTTGCTGTTGTTGCTGCCTTTACAGTGCTTGCTGCTGCTGCGGCTGCTGCTGTGCTGTTCTTTGTTGTTTTTATGGTGTTGCTGGCACGGTGTGGTTGTTGTTCTGCTCCTTTGCGAGTCAAGTGTGGGTGGGGTGTTTGCGAGTGAGAGAGAGAATGGTGGGTTGAGGGAGTAGAGAGAGAGAGAGTAGTGGGAGACAACAGTTAACAGCTTTATTTATTGATGTTCTTTTGTTATTATTTTCTTGCAGCTACACTACTTGAGTTAGTTTGTTTGGCTTGTTTTTGTTTTCATCATTTAATGTAATGCAAAAAATAGTATTTTGAGCGCAGTGTGTGTTTCGCTTTCAAAAAGGTAATGGCAGGGGAAAATCATACGGGAGACTGAACGACCTTCTGTCGCTGACAATGATGATGTTGCTGCTGTCGCTTCTGATGTTGCACTTGTTGCTGACTCTCTCACACTAGTCTAACCACACGCACACACACGCACCCGTCCGTGTACTTGTAGTTTTTGTATTTTGTTAAGTGGTCACCTTCCCTTTTATTAATGTTTATGATGCACTTTGTTGTTGCTGCTGCCTGTAAAGTTGCTTTTGTCGCCCTGCTGCTGCTGCTGCTGCTGCTGCTCTTACTCTCTCATCTCTCTCTTTTTTCCGCGCCGCACATGCCGACTTTTTGACACCACAATATTTTCGACTTTTTGCTTTGGCTTATTGTTTTTGCACAAAAACAACAACATCATCATCATCATCATCAACAACACAAGCATCAGCAATTGAAGTATTCTTTGACTCAATAATCATATTATAAGAAGATACTTATTTTGATAACTTTTGATTTATATTAAAAATGATAATTCATCTCAAATTTGAGCACAACTACATTTGCAACAACAACAACAACGTGCAAAAATAAACTTTCTTTTGAGGTGTTATGAGGGTAAAATGAATAGGAGATTGGAGTTGCCCAAAAATTAAATCAAAGTAATGTTTTTTTAGCACTATGAAGTGGCGTTGCTGACCTAACGCACATTTTTTGTCTAGCTAACCCCGCATAAAGTAAGGTATTGAAATCATACACAAAACAAAGCCCTCTATAGGGAGGACACACTGTTCGGTTCTCGCATAAACAACAAATAAGTCTATCATAGTACAAACACAATGTGATTCACATGAGGGGTTAATAATATAGGTGGGCGTTTCTTGGCGTTTAGATAATAAGCGTAAAATAAATAAAATAATATAAATGAAACGTATATTGGGGATGGTTAAAAGGGTGGGTGAAATGGTAATGGTAATGGTGGTTGTGGTAAGTTGACCACAGGTGACAGCACACCCAAAGATCTGAACACTTTCAGTTAAAGCTTTCTTTGAACCATAAATAATAAGTTACATACATGCAGTAGTTCAATTGCACAAGCAAATAGTAAAGTTACTCCTCAACTACGAACTTTTAATCACCGCAGTTTTTATATACTCGTTCGTAAATACAATATAATTATGCCTGTTCCAGGCGGCGCAATGTACGAATCTAGACTGCCAGTCGATCGTTTGTCGCTGGCATATTTCAGTGCGTTGGCATTCCGAATCATTCTCCTTTTATCAAAACACATTGGGGAATAGCGACAAGACGAAGGCACTTTGTAGAATAAAAGCTTCGCCAATGTATAAGTAAGCGTATTTTTCGCTACTGATAACAAATGCGCAAACTGATAGACAATAAAAATCACATTATGCCAACAGCTTTTTGACAAAGTAAAAATCATTTTGTATAACAAAACCTGAATGGCGACACAGGATGATTCGAAATTAGGTAAACACAAATGTGAAACTTTTGCCTATTAAAAAATATTCTTTAACAGCTTGCTATCAGCAAGAACACTTATATTTGATCATTAAAGATCATTAATTTGTTTTGCGCAGTATACAAAAATCATCAACTGTTTTAAAAAAGTCTATTAGAGCCAAATCAATCAAATAAAAGAATTCTTTTAGGTTTAAATTGGGCAATAAGGTTAAAATAAATAAAAACTTATGTTAATGGAAAGCGTACCCAACAAGTGGGAGTTCATTAATATTAATACGAAAGTGATCTTTTTACAAGTAGTTAGCGATATATAAAGTTCATGTTACACTAAATATACTTTACAACAGAAATAATGTGCCAATATTTACAAAAGACATCTACAACATACAATACAATACAATACGTACAAATGGGATATGAGTGCTATGCACTGGATGATTAGTCCGAAGAAACTCACCACCAAGTTCACCAATCAGTTGCTGGGCGAATTCGCTCTCTGAGAGGTCTTCCTCCTCGATGTCTTCGTCCTCCTCGATGTCGTCGTCTTCCTCGTCGTCAACGTCCTCCTCCGTTGTGATCTCGTCCTCCTCGGCAACAATCTGGGGGTCTTCCTCGTACGACGAGCCCGCAGAGTTCACTATTTCGTAGAAGCCCACCTCCTCTTCCTCCTCTTCTTCTTCTTCGTCCTCCTCGTCGTCGTCGTTGTCCTGCTCCTCGGGCTGGCCCTCCGCCTCTAAGTGTCCCTGGCTGTGGGATACTGCTGCCTCTGGTTGAGTCAGAGCCGTCTCGAGGGTCGGCAGCTGGTCTTCCACGTCCAGATTCACGTGTACCGGCTGCTGTTCCTCCGCTTTGCCCTCCGCACCAGGTTCTTCTGTTCCTTCCCTCTCTGTGTCCTGCAGATTCTGCTGCGAGTGGCGCAGGCTCTTTCTGTGCTTGCTGATGACACCTGACTTGCTGCTGGATCCGGATCCCGCTGATCCGTTCCGGCTAGAGGCGACAGTCTCCTCCGCTTTCACCGTCTGTTTTTCCGGCTTCTGGGAGGAGCGCGTGTGGCTGACCTTGCGCGTTTTTCTGTAGTAATTCAGCAGATTGCCGCTGCGTCCGGCGCGAGCAGCTGCTGCCCCTCGATGGGGAGTGGTATCAACTACAGCTCCCGATCCGCCAACGCTGGCCTTGCGCTTGTTCCGATTGCTGGTCGGGAAGCTGGTAGAGCTGGCACTGGCCCGAACCTGGTGTTGATGGCGCGCCGCCGCAGCGCTGCTTGTACTCGGCAGCTCCTCCGGGGAAATGGTCTTAGATCGAGTGCGCTGCGCAACACAGTCTCCGGAGGCTTGACGAGGCGTCTGGTCGGTGCTTACTGTAGCTAAGCCAATTCCTGCTGCTCCCCCGCTGACTTCTGATCCCAACGTCGGCTGCAAGCGGCGTTTCTTAAGCGGCGAGCAATGCTCCACCAACTGATCTCCGCCGGGAGCTGCTGAAAAAGGCATCGGAGAATATCTGTTTATTACTTCGACTCGATCAATGCGGTTTTAATTATTTTTTATTCTGTTGATTTTTTTATGGGAATAGAGGGAACTATCGGATGATTTTAAAATTTGGACAAACAAACAAATACACATTGATCAATTTAGAAATGTCAAAGTGGTCGCCCAAAAAAACGATTTGCCAGTTTTTTAATTCCATACAAAAGGTATTTAGTTTTTTTATCCGTTACTCGTAAAGTAAAAGCGTATACTAGATTCGCCGGAAAATATGTAACATGTAGAACGAAGTGTTTTCGCCCCTGTAAAGTATAAAGGCGAGTCGATTTATCGAATCCGATCTCGAAAATTATAAAAGTTAGAAAGTTGGGATTTAACATATAGATTCTAGGGCTTCTTTTGTGCGGCTTTTGCATGAACTAATTTCATAAAATTAAGGGAAGGGTACGCAGCTTTCCATTAAGCGGTCATAATGAATTGCTCTGCTTGTTCTCTGCCGCCGCACAAACAGTGTAGAACAGCGGACAAGTCACACAACACGAAAAGCTGCCCGGTGCAAATTACTTTTTAACAATACTAAACAAAATTCATAAATCCAAGATGCATATTTACTTTACTTATGTACATATTTTTATTCGTTTTCGAAAAAGTAAAGAAATGAATTTGAAAAGAACTGTGAGCTTCTTTCTCACAGCAGCAAAATAAATATTCTTGACGGACAGAAATCCCTAAGAATCCGCCCGACCATGAATGACATATAACTTTTTAAGTAATCAATCGCTATCCAATAAGGATTATTTATTTTAACCTTTTCTAGTTGTAGTGATAAAAAAAAAAACTCGATTTAGATAAAAATTATTTTTGAGGGCTACTTAAAGTTTTAAAATCAGCGGGCCGCAGGGTCTTTTTGATCTTATGGAACCATTTTAGTACGTACACACTCAATTACTGACGGGTAGGACAACATGAAGAAATAAACTATACATTTCAATCAGGGAATCAAACCGAATCCCATTTCGGACCAGTCCAATAAACCATGCAGCAAATCAGCTGTTTTCACTAATACGCTCAAAGCCGCTAGGGGCGCTATAAGCTAGGTGGCGCTAGCTACAAGCAAGCATCGCACTCTCTTTAGCTGAGTAACGGGTATTTAATGTCGATGGCATCGACTATAGCGTTCTCTCTTGTTTTTTTAATTAAAAAGATTAACAATTCAAAATTATTCATTTTAATAAAAGTGGTTTACTAAGATTTTGATTTAACAACTCTGGTAACTAGGTTGTTTCCAACCGTGCTTCTTTTCAAAAGTTTGTAAATATCCGTTCATCCATTTACACTCCGAACCGAAGTGGTTCAGATATTCTCAGAATACGAACCGAGCCACTAACCGGAGGAGCGACTTATTTTGTAAGTGAACCGGAACCGAATCGGAACTATTATTTTTATACCCTTGCAGAGGGTATTATGATTTCAGTCAGAAGTTTGCAACGCGGTGAAGGAAACATTTCCGACCCCATAAAGTATATATAAAAAAAATTGGTTGGAAAATAATACGAAACAAATTATAGCTTCGGTGTTTTTTGACACACTATATTATACCATTGGGAATATCAGCAAGGGTATACAAGCTTCGGCTTGCCGAAGCTAACATCCTTTCTTGCTAAAATTCTATTCGGTTCGTTAAAATTAATTCTTTTTGTTTTCTTTTTTACTGATCGACAATCGTTCGATACATTGGCGAATTGTGTGGCAAAATGAAAAGTAATAAAAAAAATTGGCATTATTTAATTAAAACAAATTTTATTTTTTGAGCCCTGGGTTGAGCCTGAACCCTTTTCTAGCATATCGACGAACCGGTTGACAAACCGGAACCGGAACCAGAGAAAGCTAACATCCTAGTTACTGGTTTTACCCAAAAGTCCTTGCTATGGACAGCGGTTTCACTACGGGCTGCAAGGGACCCTCGCGTCGTTAGTGCGAGTCGCTCCTATTCAAAATTGGCCTTTTTGAAATTGGTAAGCAAAGTAACTGGTACCTATACATATATTTTATCAGTGTAGTCAAGGCAATTTGATCTGTATTAAAATCCATATCTCTAGCATTAGCTAATGCATGGGTGTTAAAACGTCGGCTAACCAAAGTCAGTTCCTAATTCAAAATGGTTTTGGCTGGCTTATCATTGATTGAATAAAAAAACTCACGTTGGTTGCTACTGCGAGTGTGGTTGCTGCCGCTGTTGTGCTGATGATGCTGGCGCTTACGACTGCCGGGTGAAAGCGATTGATCGCTCACGATCGAGATGGAGTTGGATGCTGGCGATGATGGCGAACGATGCGTTACTGTCGTGCGCTTGGAGACTTGCGACTCCTTGCTGCTGTGGGCTGCTGCAGAGGAGTGGCGACCTTGACTGCGGGATCGCCGGGTTGAGGTGGTTGCAGTTGAAGTCGAGGTGGTGGCTACTATGTCGACGGAGGAGCTGACAGCAGGGCCCGATGATGTTGCCGGTGTGTTGTGTTTCCTGTTTTTGTTGTGGCCCTTGCTGCTGCTGCTTGTGTTGTTATTGCGTCGCCGCTGGGACGAGTGATTGGATGAAATTGCGGTGCAGGTCGCACTGGTATTATTAACCAATGTCGCTGATGTTGCTGTTGAACCACCGTCGTCGTGCTGCCCCTCCGTCAATGCAGAGAGCGATTGACTTTTAACGGATTCGGCCATAGACGACACTTAACCGCACCGGCATCGAACACACTTAACATGCCAACACAACCAATAATTGAATATTGATCTTGAAATGTTTTATCTGAATCCGATAACTAACCATGCAAATGGTCTCTAAAGCAGGTTCAAATTGAATTTGCTTTTCTCTTATTTCATAATCACTGATTTGTCTATTTCACTTCACTTTTCACAGTTTTCCTTGCTGTTTCCTTTCTGCGTGCTCCGTTGGATGTAATTGCTGTGCTGCAATAAAGGAATTGAAGATACAAAAGGGGTGTTAAAGCAATGTGATACAAAGTAGCAAAATAGAACGCATTTAATGGTCACGTTGCAATGGAAACGAAGTCAAAGCAGAGGCCACGAGTCGAAATAGTGAATAGTTCGGTAAAAAATGAGTCAATCGAAATGCTCTCATTCAAAACACTGCACATTGCAACAATATATTTGAAGTTTTTGGTTAAATCGGTAACTTAATTGGTATTTTAAAGTACAAAATAACAGGCCCATTCAAAGATTAAAATATTAAGACTAACATAAATGCGATTATTCCATACAATATCACAAATTGATGGTAATAAATGTGATAAATTTAGCATTAGATAGGTGCAAAAAAAACTAGAGGCGAAATGCGAGTTAAAAATAGTCACAATGGAGTCGGATCCAGATAAAACCTCACCCAGGAACTATAACAGGCAGAATTCCGAAAAGCAGAGGACGCAGCCAAGCGAAGTGATCACCACATACAGGAAATTCTGACTTCTGACAATGTCGAGAGGCACATATGGAGGTAATACCCAAACGGAAGAGAGCGACTGGAACCGCGAGCCAGTAGTACCGAAAACACACAAGAGATAAGGGGAATACAGAATATGGCACTCGAGGGCCTCAAGTGAATGTGAAAAACCGGCTCAACTCAAATCAGGGATAGAGATAGAGAGATAGAGAGGCAGGAGAGAGAGAACGGACATTTCTAGAAGCCAAATGCACAAAGACAGATTTTCAGCCCCATTTTTAAGGACAGGTACTCGCAGACAATGACAAATGCCACATCACACGAGTGGTGCTGACTATTGATTCAGCGAAATAGCACAATTCAAAACTACAAATTTAATTACAGTCTTTGCGTTCAATGTATGTACATTGTTCATACCTAAATATGCAAGGCAGCTTGCTCGTTCCACTTGGTAAATTCGATTTTGAAAACTACAAGAGGGGGCAGCAAGCTGTTTTTATTCCAATGCGCTTTTTACCTCGTGTAGATGGAGCATTTTGTTCATAACAATGCTTAAACTAAGAATTTGATTTATTACTTTGTTATAAAACGCACACAGCCTAATGGACATAAATATCTTTTTTAAATATTTGACTTCATTGAAGAGCAAAAGACATGTTGGCACCCCAAAACAGCAATGAAAACTAGAATCCGAAAACTGATAACAATGGAGAATTTACACCACCTAGAAAAGACACCACCACTCGGAAAACACTTCCACTCACACACACTTGAGCATTTTGTCAACATATGAAAACTGTAAATAAGTTAACAGCTGTTTGTCAGCAGCCACCGACACGTGCATGCGAGCGAGGGAGAAAATCGAAGAGAGAAAGAGAGAGAGCAGAACGAGAGCGAATGTTTTGAGTGGAAAGATAAGCGCTGGCTCACTCATACTCACTTACACTCGCTCCCAGCTGTGCTAATCAGCTGTTCTCGGCCGTTTTGTTTATGTTTTGCCTTTCGTAATGCCAAGCGTGTCCGTGCATGTGTGGGTTGGCTATCTGCCCCTTCTTCTTATGTGTGTGCGAGCGAGAAACAAGTTCTGCGAGCGTGTGTGCGTGAGTTGCCATGCTTGTTTCGAAGAAGATGAAATGAAAAAATCGAGCGCAGCACAGGCTTTTTCGTTTGCTTCCACTCGCCGAAAAAGATGAGATTTGAACGTTCTGCTTCGTTCTGCGCCCTTTTTGTACACATTATGTACTCGAAAACCCGTCTGTCGATATGTATCGTTCACAATATAAAAAGTGCGTAGTTCTCTCATTTTGGCCCTTTTGCGATCTCGTTTCAGTCTCAACTTGGCCACACAGTTTCTCTCGAATTTGACAGGCAAACACGATAAAATAACGAAACAGAACAACCAATCGTCAAACATTTGCCAAAGTGGCCAATCTCACCAAAACTCAAGCGAAACCAACAAAAACTAATACAACAAATTCAGTTCAAGGCCATCGAATGAAACCAGCAACCCAAACAAACAGACGACGTCAGCGATTTTGGTTTGGGGGAAAATTATGTATTTCTATTCGACTTTTCAGTTGGCGAATGGTTAGACTTGGCACCATGTCACGAATTGATATTATTTTTCAACACATTGCGTTGAATTTATCTTTTTATGACCAGTTAAATGATTTTATTCTTTTCAAACCAAAATTTTTGTTTAAAATGTGTAATGACAAAGTAATATTTTGATATGGTATTGTGAATACCCTACCAAAACTCTGATGCTTTGTGTTTATGTATCTTGTTGGCCTTTAGTAAGCACCTAAGACGTCGTCTGGTATACGATTTTAAGATCACAAATTCATTCCTCTCTGCCCAATTTGATTTCACATTGAAATCGACTAGGAAACATTTCTCTAGGTCCTATCATTTAGAGAACATTTACCCGAGTAGGCCACTGCCGATTAGTTCGTTCCAAACACACAACACACAACCCAGGCAATACTATCTATCTACATCATTCAGTCTCCACTCGTATCTCTGCCCCACAAGTTTTTCACACCGAAAAGCACAGACGAAAAAAAATAATAAGCGAGGCCACAAATGGCAGCCGCCTTCATGCACGAGTGTATGAGTGTGAGTGCTCCGTGCCAGTGTGTGTGCCGAGCATTTTGCTTTGCGTGTGGCAACTCCAACATATGGCGATAGCCTTTGTGGTTGTTGCTATTGGTTGTGGTTGCCTTTTATCAGCAGTGGAAAATGTGAACGTTAAGGGTCTTAAACCGAAACAGAAGCAAACCCTTAACGCCGTTAAAAGCCGTTCAAACATCTTTATTTTCCACGAGCAGAAGTTTTAATAAGCACGGCAATATCGGATAGAAATAGAATTTAAATATGCATCAAAAAATTTTACTTTAAACAATGGTTCGATTCGATGTTTATAGATACAAATAATTATAATACGCAATATTGAAATAAAAAATTAAAAAATTACAGATTCTTTAAATTAAAAACAAATAATTTTTTTTCTAAAAATTTTAAGTAAGCTTGAACATGTAAGCTATTGAGTTATCAAAGAATTCCTTCATCAACGGTGATGAACAAACTATAAGTTTGCCTCCCGTCTGGGTTGGTTTCCCCAGCTGACTGCAACCCCCTTGGAACCATATGCTGCAAGAGAATATGACAACCCTGGCCGGAGCATAATTGATAACAATTTGTGGGTTCGTGTGGCTGTGTGATCTGTGCCCTACCTCCCCCATTCCTCATTCCTCCCCTGTTTGTTATGCATTGTGCGTGCTATTTTGTTGGCATTGTTTGTAACTTATTTGAATATCGTTGTAAAGAAGCATTCGAGCGCATATTAGAGCTGGTCTCAATAGTGCTGCCCTAGCAAGTTTTCTGTATTTCCCATTTTCCGCTCCCGCATCAGGTCGACTTTTTATATTTCTCTTTCCGACGGTTACGAAACCTGCCTACGCACAGCTGAGTGTGCGAGCGAGACGGCCTGCGATTCACGTGTCCACTTCGACAAACGGGCAGTATTCTTTTGGTTTTTGAGATTTAAGATTCAGAATATAAACCCCATTTTACGTTTCTTAAGCAATGTGTATGAAAGTTAGAGACTTCGTTCGTTGTACTAGTGTACTACAGTTTTAACATTTGTGTGAATGAAATATTTGTATATTCTATACTCAAAGGTCTGACCAAATTGTCCGTTTTTAAAAACGTGTATAATATAAAAATAATACGTTTTTTACATAATTAATTTTCACTCAAGAAGAGGATATTTTGTTCCTAAATAACTGTTTGGGTTACAAAATTTGAGAACAAATTGTTCACAGTGTTTTTCTTCTGCTTTACACTGTAAACTTTTTTCTGTCACCCCGAATCGTGCGGGAATTACGTAGTTGAAAAGGCGGACGTAAGAACGCAATAGCAACGCCACCTGGCAACCCTATCAAGTGGGTGGGTGTTGGGTAGCACTGGGCATGCAACAATTAAACTCAGAAGGTTTTTTATCCAATGGGAAATTCTTGACTTTTAGAGACAAGGTCAGCCAAAAGCATTAGAAAACCGTGTGGGCAGAGGGGAAACTTCAGCCCCAGCGAATTACACCACATAATTTGAGGCTTTTACACAACGCGTTATGTACACACGGCATATACGCATACAGACACATGTGCAACGGCTGCTATATACAGTTATACACACCACTTTGCTGCACTTTCCATTGCAAAACGGAAATGAAAAAAGCAACTTAACAGCCATATATTGTTAATGTAATTCGACTTAGTTTCGTGGTTAATGTGCAATATTCGACTGAAAATGAAATGTCGATTGAGGAAAATGACAAGGAAAAAACGCAAAAGGGAGCACACAGAGCTGCATGTGCGCGAAAGAGAGCGCACGAGGGCAAGCGCATGACGACGTACACACTCACACACACAAAGGCTTTCAGAAGAAGGAAGAGGAGGAGAACAAATAAGTCTCAGTATGTACAACAATATAACGAAATCAAAGCGATGAGCAAAACTTAATGCATACACAATTTGAGCGATTTGCATGCCCTGGTCCAGAAGAAAATCCGATTAGTTCGATTCAGTCCAACGCAGCGTGATAATATTCGGAATTATATAAACACGGCACCTTTTCGGTTCTACACACTATGTACCAGTGGCGTCGAGTGTATAGAAAATACAGCCGTTTGCATTCTACTTTACAGCTGTGCACGCACTCAAATCCAACAAACGAATGAAACAGAGGCAGAAACGGCAGAATCAGCAGCGCTCGGCGGAAAATGGCGACGGAGAGCGCGAGTGAGAGAGAGAGCGTTGCTTGAGTGGGAGGGCAAGAGTGGCACTGCCACTCAAGGCGGAGTGTGTGTTTGTTGCCTAGAAAACGATCTAATGAAACACAAGCCTCAGAGCGTTTATGTACACAACTCAATTGAAACCAAGTCAACTGGACATTGAGGGAAGAAAAAGCACTCAATCCGCCCGAAAACAGGTCACTCAACCCTGGAGAATGAGGTCAACAAACCGCTCTCTCTCTCTCCCACGGTCTTTTGTTTTAGCCTTACACCTTGCATGTGTGTCATTGTGCTAACCTAATTGATTTAAAACACAAAATATATAAATAAGTTGAAATTCCTGATTTGCTTCCACTCAAAATGGCCGAGTGACCATATTAAATGAGGAGGCAAGAGAGCCGACTGCTTTTCCTTTTAGGGGTTGCCCTCTTCCACTCATTCAGTGCTCTCCCTGTTTCCTTGTGTTCTACCTGTGTTGTCGTTTTCTTCTCCCCCTTTGATCAGCTGATCGTGCGCGTGTAGCGGGGAGAAAATGCGTGAGTTACAATTACAATTCCAATAGGGTCGCTCGCAGTACGAAATGCACTCAGCTGACCTCCTCAAACACGCGTGTGTGTGTATACGAAAACCGAAGCAAAGAGCGGAAACCAAAAAACGAACAGAAACAAATTCAAGACGGGTTTTCCCTGTGTATTCATTTGCCATGTACTGTTCTTTTATTTCCTGAATCGACAAGTATACTGCTGCGGAAATGTAATAATTGATTTTAATATCTGGTTAAAATAACAGTTTACATAATCAGACTTTAATACCCAATTAATTTTAAGCATAGTCGTCACATCGACTAAATCTGTCCGCCAGCTGTGAGAGAGAGCGAGAGGCCAATACACGCAAGATCGACGGAAAATATCAGAACGTAGAATAATTTAAACAAATCCGCCCTTCAGAGCAACTTAAAACGTCCCAAAAGCATAGAGCAATGTAAAATGTGTATTTTAATAAAATGTAATCTTAAAATGGCTAAAACATTTTAATTAAATTGTTACATTGATTACTTTTTGATTGTCAACAAACACTGTTTATTTACAGTAGGACCGTAAAACCAGCCACACTACAAACAATACAATTGTTCCGCTAGCAAAAAATGTACTTTCATTTTCCAAATGTCTAAATATTTGTAATGTTTTATTAAAATCGCAAATAGGTCATATTTTGATATTATAAAAATATTCTTTGATATATTTTTTTATTTCAATAAAAACTCGGGTATAACTGGGGTAATCAGGGATCGTAATGCTATTTTATTGTGGGATATCCAAAAACTTTAAGAGCACTTTCCTCATGAAGTATCTGTAGCTGAAGTACAACTTAAGCTCGCTATTTTTGCGTCTTCGTTCGTCAGCTGTTTTGAAATAGACTTGTGCGGTCCCAAAAAATCTTCAAAAGGCGTAGTCTGCTAATTGTTTAAATTAAGTCAGATTCAAATAGAAACAACAAAAATCAGTTTTCAAAAATGTCTGTTCTAACATTTTTTAGAAATATTATTTTATACTACATTTTTCGTGAACGTCACAATTTTCAAAAATTTCTTTCTAATACCTTTTATGATTTTTTAAGAATGTTTAGAAACATTTCTTCATACTAAATTTTCTGAAATTGTTTCATTGAAAAATTCTTTTTGCAGTTACTTTTATTTTTATTTTGATAAACTTTTAGCATCAAACCGTTTTCGTTTTCAAGCCGACGAAAAAAGTTCCAAAAATTAACTTTTCTAAAAATTCGACATTTCCAATAAGTGCTAAATGGTTGTATTATTTAAGCGGAAATTAAATGACCTTTTCATTAATGTCAAAATGTACATGAAGTAGGTTCAAATTATGAAAACATGTAACTATATGTTTTGTAAAAATAGTTATGCCCACTAGTGCTCATAAATGTGTATAAATTTGTAATACCAGATGGAATCGAATCACCAAGCAAGTAAATGCAAGTCAATTGCAGTCGTGTGCATGTGCAAGTTTTCAAAATAAAAAGAAACCAGTAACAGCAAATAATAAATATGCATGGATGCAACTCGCTCTCTCGGTCTCACTCACACGCTTATGCAAGTGCAGGGGCAATGCAGCCGATTGAGTGAGAGAGACAGAGCCTCGGAGAGAATGCGAAATGAGGCCACGGTTGCTGACGAATTTGGGACAGAAAGAACACCCGCCCCAACTTTCGTTAACCGATAACACCAGATATCTTTGAAGCAAATATTCATGTCTCATGCTCCATACCACATTTGAGCATTTACCAATTTTGAATATCTTTTAAACTCCCAAAAATAGACAAATTTAGTTATCTATCAAAGTTTTTAAGATTTGATTTCCTAGCGTAATAATAATCTTTAATATTTATGATTCACGCTGGATTACTACTTAATCCTGCTCAAAGAGAACAAAGTCAAAGACAAATTCTTGTTTAGAGCTAACGTTTCAGTAGTTAGAACAATTGTAAGACATTCCTAGGATACATTTGTAAACATTTTAATTTAGAAGATTTCGTAAGCTACTTTTTTTAAATGTAACCACAGTTGTGAAAGTTGTACAGGGTGCTACTGAAATAGGTTACCGCTAAATGTGAAAGAAATTTGTATCAGTATAAATCCTACCTTAATTGGCATTCCTGATTCTGACTATTTTTGATCATGATTAAGTAGGACCCTGAGAACAGGGTATCTTTTCACCTCCCTTCACGACAATTGGTAGCCTCCATATTTAAAGATAAGAAAATATCACCCGCAGACATTGGCAGAACTGTTTAATCCTGCTGGATTTATCTTAACATGCTAACACAATCCCAATTTTTGGTCAAGCAGATAACGAAACCTTATCACAACATACCAAGGAGATAGAACGAGGGAAAAGTATTTAAAAATCCCCATTTAGCATTTAAAACCTATCCTCTCGATAAAAACAAAGTATGAACAACTTTTTTCTCTCTTAATATTTATTTCAGGGCGAACTGCTAGAACCATAAATCCGCTCTTAAACTACATACAGACGGCGGGCAGAATGGAATGTAGGACGACATCCTGTCGGACATCTATTTGCAGATGGATGGAATGCTCCCGGTCAATCCCAATGGTTAGCTCGTCGTTGGGGAGTTGCAGTGCACCAAAGAAGGCAGAGGCTTTTCTGGAATCCACGGAGCAGGAGGTCTCCTGCTGGGATCCTACCAGATTTCGTATCAATAACTTTTGGAATCGACTGGTCACAGTGGACATTTCAGAAGTGGCTATAACATTTAGCTCCCCATCAAAGCTGGCCTGGAACTCAAGGCTAGGCGATACATTTTTTAGTTTATCGATGAGACTTCGCAGCAATCGTAAACTTGGCAAACTCAAAGCCAGTTGAGAGTTTGGAACCCTGGGTACGACATAGGCGGACCAATCGCTGGCTGGGATTATGGTCACAGGAACATCGTGTACCACTTCGCGCGCTTCTGTAGAAGAAGACAGGAGCACCGAGGCTATAACCGAAATGCAGGGAAACTGAATCCTTTGCAGCTTCAGCTTGCAGCTATTAACGCCCCTCCTCGGAGCACGGAAAATGCTCTTCCGAGGTTAGCCGAAGACATGCCCAGAACTATGTATTCCTGATCCGGGCGGGCAGCCTCCATACGATACTCCGGAAAGTATTCCTCGGCTGCAATGCTGGCCCAAACCAAGGGCGACGCAGCGGAGCTCTGGTCCTCGTTCACGATGAAGTGCATCTGTCGAGAGCCCAGGATCATCACGCAATCCTTTGCCAGTTTGGCCAAAGTGGCCACAATGGCCTGGAACTCCCGCATGTACAACGGATCCTGCATCAGAGCGCGGAACTTCATCTTCCCAGCAAAGAACTGGGTTAGAGCCGGAGCAACACGGAATAAAACGGAAAAAGAGAACAAAACAAAAACAGAGTCAAACACGGCTGCCAATAGCTAATATTGCAGCAAAATCTACTATAAACTCCTGTAAAATTACCTAGACAAATCGAAAAATTAAACAAAAAGCCCTAAGTGTATGCATAATCATATTTTAAACTATGACATCAGAAGTACTATTGATTAAGGTAAGACCATAGTCTCTTTAAAAAAGATCGGCTTTCGTTCGAAGGGGAAAAGACGTCCTTTGAATACAATTGCTTGTAAATGGCTAAAATATAATTAACTTTCGGTATTAAAACTTCAATCTTTTTTTTAGATATTAATAGTACTTGATATTATTTTATTTATAATCTATAACATACTACTCGTTCAACTTAAACATAAGCACGACGTCGTTTTTGGTCATCGGACCCAAACCAACCTGGTTGAAGGGTTGTGGGATGGAAACAACGGCGAACCTTCAAACCCTTTTCGGGGGGTTAATGAGGTGTGTGGGTCCGGGTAAAGGGGGGGACCCGACCCGTTCTCCACTTGCTATTACTCTCTTCTTGTCTTCTCGAATTCGAATTTGAGTTCAATGTACAAAGGCGACACTCACACGGATGCAAGCGAGCTCACATACACAGCACACTCCCTCATTAATCGCACATACACCGAACGGTAGAAAGAGAGAGGGAGGGAAGAGACGAAGAGCCAGGCAAACAAAGCGCAGAGCGAGTTCTGAGTTGTGTTTTGGCTCTTCTTTTTATTTATTTATTTTTATTTTGTTGGTGGGGCGAAACGGTGAGCAAAGAGCAGGCGAAACGAAACGAAGCTCGACGAAATGAAGAACGTAGCCAGATACAAAAACTGCCTGTTCTCCTTGCACACAGAGTCATCAAAAGACAGACAGGATTTGTATGCTCAAGTGCAGGGGAGATGGTTCCAGGGGCGGGGTTGCAGTGGGGGCTCCGGCGGCGGAAATCAAATTATATGCCTGTCTAGGGGGTCAAAATATTTCCCTTTTCGCAGTGCAATCAACCTTCAAGGTTAACTGCGCGTTATCAGGCCCTCAATTGCAACTGATAATGCAAGCGTGTGTACTGGTTTGTGCGTGGAAGTTCGTGTTTAGTGGATATACCAAATAAGACGACATTTTCAAAGTTGTCACATTTCCATATCGCGATAGGCGAAAAAACATGCTAAAGTTTAATATTTATGCTAGCTAAGCAGCCTAGAACTCAGATAGTAAAACACTTTTACTAGTCGGAAAATCCTATTCCTAGCAGTGTGACCGAATTTTTGTGAGTTCAGCAAAGCTGGTCTTACTGTGCTTGCTGACAAGCAAAAAGTAAACAATCGTAGGAAAAAATGCAGAATAAGTAACAGTTTATGATAAACTATTGGCAAGGAACAAAAGGAATGCATTGAGCTAAAGAGTTTTTGTAGTAATATTGTATAAGGATGGTATTGGAGGCACTCCAAGATTCCTTTTCTTGCCCACTTGTTCCTAGTTCCCTATGCAAAACCTATGTAAAAAAAACTCAGAAGCCCGCTAAACTCTATAGTGTAAACCGGGGAAAAGTATTGTAACTTGTGGGAAAAAAGTTATATGTATAAACATATTAATAAATAAATGTTACAATTTTGGACAAAACAAAACTAAATTTAGAGTCTAGCTCTAGCTGGCATGACAGTGCTGCCCATTCGGCAACAGCTGTTTTTTCTTCTCGAATTGACCTGTGACGTCACGTCAGCATAGCTTATTTCACAAAGAGGCGAAAAATATCATAGCTATCAAGAAGTTTGCTTTCATGACAAGATGTTCGTCATGGGTTTAATGGCGTTACTAGGCGAAACCTTCATGTCATTGCAACGTGAACATATTTATATTTAAAAGAAAAGCAAGCCAGGGGTGGGGTGAAAAGCACATTAAAACGCTGACAAAAGGCCAAAAATTTAAATGCTGAGAATGGAAACGTGATTACCTTTTGCCACCTCTTTGCACCGACAGAAGCACACAAAAACTCGCATGCAGATGGAGCACCACCCGCTTAAGCTTGTAGCATAAATAAAAGAGAAAGTAAAACTTGACAAGATGCGCTCTTCCCTCGCCCCATCCCCTGATCATAATAAAAGACAATAACAATTTGAAAAGAATTAAACACACACTCATAAGACTGTATACCCTACGCAAAACGGTTAAATGGTTTCTACGAAAATATGTGCAGCCGGTTCTGCATAACTGAAATAAATGATAACCCTCGAGTTTGAACTTATGCACTCTGTGGATATAAGCTTTTCCTTGCTTATTTCCAGGAAAACTGATGTGACTCCTCGGCAGCCATTGTAAAAATCAATACTGCCAGATTGGCCACACAAAAAACTCACTGGAAACCAATTGGCCGACACAGGAAACTTCTTAGGGCTAAGGCAATATTTGACCACGCTTTTGCGAGTCTTATATTAACACAAACCTCTAAAATATAGCACAGAAAAGTTAATACGGAAAAATGCAAATGGTCGACATTTTGTTTTCCGTCTCGCTGGTGCCTATTCGAAACGTAAGCGTGTGTGTGCGTGTATGTGTGTATCTCGTCTGAACTCGGAGCCCCAAAAAAAAACTCTGTGGTCAAATCCAATCACTTTCTCACAGCCCCCAGGCCCGCTTTATGCAATGCCCTTCATTTCCGAATGCGTTCACTGCAGTCGCACTTACCTTCGAACTAATTGCAGTAGTTTTCTCTCAAATTGCACAGTTTTTATACACTACACTCAGCAGTTTTCACACGCGACGAAACGGAACAACAATACAACAGCCAGCGTGACCGCACCGACAACGATACAAAATACCAACTTGCCCAAAGAGAAATACCATTTCAGTTTCAAAAAATACCATTTAAATGACAATTTAAAAATATGTTAAATGGTGTTCGTTTGAATAGAATACATTTGGGATTTATGCTATCGCGATTCTATTTAAAACTAAGAAATTATTTGTGCATACGCTTGAATTAAATTAAGAGTTTAATTGAATCCGATTTTCAAGGCAACCCATTTATCGTTTATCGAGACCATTCAATGAATGATCACTATTTTTAAAGCCTACTACTCGCATCTACAAGAACCGCGATATTCAGCGGCGCCGGGTACTCAGATTAGCTAAGGAAATACCAGAAGGAAGTAGCAAAAAAAATACGAGATGTCCAAAGTGAACTCCGATGAACGCAGTTACCCGTCGCGCAAAGAATAAGAAATTTGAAACGAAAATATAAAAAAAAATCAACCCCCAAGGAACAGCTGGAGGAACCTTCATCAGTCATTGCCAGGATGCTGAGCGACTTTCTGCAGTAACGGCTGAACAACACCGTTGCCAATCCGGCTCCCTTTCCCTCAAGGTCCGTGTTGGCCCGTTGGGAATTTACAAAAAGAAAAACATTCGTTGAACATTCCAATTATTTTAGTTAAATTTCGTCAATTTAAAATTGTTTTAATAAATTTATTTTTCGTTTGTGAACAGGTCCAGCTGCTTTACTGTAAAGCCTAGCACTCACATCGACGAAACCGCGAGCTAACCATAGGAGTGAGCGAGAGGTAAATACGCAGCTAACGTCTTTCGTCGGGTCTGTTTTTCAGCGCAGTACTCAGATAAGCTAAGGAAATACCAGAAAAAATACCAGATTTCGAGAGTGAATTTTGATGAACGCCGTTATCCGCGGCCCAAAGAATAAGAAATTTAATCTTTGGCGGTGTTCGTGGGAAATTTAAAAATTAAAAATGGAAAAAAAATGCCTAAGGAGGTCAGTGCAGATAAAAGGGACGCCTAATCCAAGCTGTTGCCCGTTATTGTGGGACTTGACTGACAGGAAGCAATACCACAGCGGGGCAAATCCGCACAATAGTTAAAGTGCTGGAGGAGATCCAATAGATAATCCCAGTGGGAAGGAACACGGGACATGGCTCGATCTCCGACGAGCTCTCCATTGAGGAACCACCGGACTCCACCTCCACCAGATACTTGGCAGCTAAAGCGGAGATGGAGCATTCGTTTCATGTATTTTTATTTTTATTTCTTTGTGCACCAGCAGACTCTACTTTTTTAAATTGCTACATTTGATTTGTTTTCTGTTTGGGAACAAGACCAGCTGCATGACAGTAAGACCCTGCCATTGCGGGTGAACTTTGAAAACTTCGGTCATACTAAAAGAATAAGATTTTTCGACTAGTGAAACTCTTGCCGATCTGTACTAGGCTTAAGACCTTAATACAAGAAATGTGGGTGAACTTTAAAAACTTCGGTTTTTTGACTAGTAAAATTCTTAGCCGATCTGGGCTTTACGGTCTAAAATTTGACAGGTAAAAAGAAGACTGCTAGCAACTTTTTCGAATATTCAAAAATCATGCGGCCGGCTTTCACTAAAGATAATAGATGATAAACGATTTAACCCCAAAAAATACCATAAACAGTCGACTAGTTATACCCGGTACTCGTATTGTATTCGGGGAAAATTACGTAACAGTTAGAATTAGGCGCTTTCGACTTCGTCAAGTATATTTTATATGTATATTTATGAAAAGGATCCCTAGCCAAGTCGAACCAGCCAGTCGTCCTCCTAATGCTTCCAAAAAGTTTGAATGTTGGTATTAAGCAAGCAGATTCTTGGGCTTTCTGCGCAGCGCAAGAGTGCTACGCCAAATCTAACGACCACAACGCTAAAACCTATCTAGAGCCCACATTTGAGGAAGATTTTGTGAAAGTGCAAATGGGATTTTGCGGATATAGAATACCCTTTTTATCAACGAGTAACAGGTTTAAAAACATGCTTAAATTTGCTAACAAGTCTTGAATTCCCGCTGCCCGCTATTTTAAAATTTTTGCTAAAATCACACTTTAAAAAAGCCAAATCTGACGGTAAAAAAGGTAAAATTACACCGCTGGCTATGGATATTGTCTGCGGTGTCGTCACCTCAAACTTCTTTTAACTAACACAAAATCCATTTTATTATAAACTACGTTATATTTAAAAAAAAAATTGAAAACAATTTTTGTACTGGTACTTGTTTGGTTGTACAATCTTCAACTTTTAAACAGTAAAATAAATAAAAGTACTTTGTATCCATTTGGGTTTACTGTAATGTAAGCATAAGCAACTATATAATAATCCAGGTTCACAGCCCTAATTTTCCACAATCAAATTTTACTTTCCCTTGATAATTGGGGCCTCCTGAGTAAAAGTCCCATACAAACTTTTGTGTCATCACCTACAGGTTCCACAGCATACCTTAGAAAAACTGATCTTTGCCGACAATTATGTGGCCTATATAATTAGATTTATCTAAAATTTATTTTAAATTTGATCACATATTTTGACTACGTAAAGGTTCGCTTTTTAAAGGAAGTACTGTATTTATTCTTCTTCTCTTTAGCTGTTGTAACTTTAAGCGGTTGTGTGCAGAGGGTATAAATAGTGGAAAGTGGAGTCAGTCTATTATAAACGGGTGAAGTGCCTTGAGCGTAACACAACCACTATCGATAGTGTCATCACTATTTTGCCAGCTCGGTTTTTATTTACTTTTCTGGGCGGCTGGTTTTGTTCAAGAACAATTACTATAAAAGTGGTACACGTAAAGTAATAGGTTCAATGTTTATATGAAAGGTTATAAACTTTGAAAACGCTCACCCAAAGCACCCAAAAAACTCTTATTTATTTTTGGAGATATAAACAAGCGTCCAATCAGCAACACCGAACTTCTTATCACAAAACGACGTACCCAGAAACAACAACAACACAACAAAAGATAGCGCAACAAGGTGAGTAAACTATAAATAAATAGAAGTTGCTCACTTGCCTTTGACGATTGCAGCTGTAGGCCCACCGAATCGGAATTTCTGTGGACGGAGAAAGTCTCGAGAAACCTAAGGTCTGACGTGTCGCTTGATTACGGGCGAAAAAGAACGGAACGGAGCGGTGATGTGTGGAAATCCGACTGTGGGAAACGGGACGAGGGCTTTGATTCTGGTCGGGGGTTACGGCACCCGGCTGCGACCTCTGACCCTCAGTACGCCCAAACCACTGGTAGAGTTTGCCAACAAGCCTATTCTGCTGCACCAACTAGAGGCCCTTGTGGATGCGGGATGTCGCCAGGTGAGTGAATACAAAGTTTCGGGATCAGAAACCTTAAATGGTTTGAAATCACTTTAAAATGTTTCTATAATTTGGCAATGAAAAACAGAACGTATTTTGTTGGGATATATATAACATAGCTTACCTTATGAAATTTTGATCTGAGAGAGATTGTGTTTCCTGAGTTAAGAGACTTTGCACAATCAATATAATTGTCTCTTAATTTGTTTATTGTTTTCTTACAGGTAATTTTGGCCGTCAGCTATCGAGCTGAGCAAATGGAAAAGGAACTGAAAGTGGAGGCTGACAAACTGGGTGTGGAACTGATCTTCTCCCATGAGACCGAACCCCTGGGACAGCCGGGCCCTTAGCCCTAGCGAAACACATTCTAGCAGCCAGTACAGAGCCCTTTTTCGTGCTCAATTCGGACGTCATCTGCGATTTCCCCTTTAAGCAACTAGTGCAGTTTCATCGTAATCATGGAAAAGAAGGCACTATTGTGGTCACAAAGGTCGAAGAACCCTCAAAATATGGAGTTGTGCTGTACGATGAGTCCGGCTGCATCAAAAACTTTATTGAGAAGCCGCAGGAGTTCGTAAGCAACAAGATCAATGCCGGCATTTACATCTTTAATCCCTCAGTGCTTGACCGAATTGAAGTTAAGCCCACGTCAATAGAAAAGAGGTATTTCCGACCATGGCGCTGCAACAAGAGTTGTATGCCATGGATCTTACTGGATTCTGGATGGATATCGGTCAGCCCAAAGACTTTCTAACTGGTACGCCTGACTGAATCACTTTTCCCCTAACCTCGATTGCCTATTTGCTCTTATCTCTCTGAAACCGAACGTCGATGTGTAGTTAATTGTGTTTTGCCTTTTTGTGTACACTAGCTTTTGCCTTATCTATTTTGAGTTTCTTGGAAATAAGGCTAAATGTTTGATAGAGCGATTTCTGTTTAACTGAAGTGAAGCTCATTAGGCTGATAGAAATTGAAGTTCAATTAAAATAGAATGCTAGAAGAGTTATTCCCACCGAGTAGGAACAGAATATATGTTAATAACAATATTTGTATTATTTTAATGCACAAAGGTAACTAAAAATGGTTACTAATAAAGACTCAAAGTCTTCTTAATACAGATAGAGGCCTAATATCACTATCAGCTCTGGCATATTTTAACTAACATTCTTCTCCAGCGACAGAAAAAAATCTTAAACGCAACTTGCATTGCATTCCTTGCGTTTTTTGGCATCATTTTAAAGTAAAACTAATATTTATTAATTTGTCATCACATTCTTACAATCGTTTTTATACCCTTGCAGAGGGTATTATGATTTCAGTCAGAAATTTGCAACCAGTGAAGGAGACGTTTCCGACCCCATGAAGTATATATATTCTTTATCAGCATTACTAGACAGTCGATCTAGCCATGTCCGTCTGTCCGTCCGTTTCTACGCAAACTAGTCTCTCAGTTTTAAAGCTATCGGG